GACCTAAAGCGAGCAGGTTCATATAGAAAGATAACTAATAGTTTCGATATATACTCACAACGAAAATAAGCAGCATATTTGTTTGTAATGACAAATATATCGTAGATTCAACATAAGTCCCACTATGAATATGAGCTCGCCTTGAAAATCGCATCTACAACGTGACTTATTAGCAACTGTTTCCAAGTGACAGAGTAGTGACGTTTGTGAGGTGTACTGACCCCATTTCGTTAAGGTGATAAAAGCACTAGTAATTTATTATTCCCACAATGATATGAGTAGACCTGTCGTCTCCATTGAATTTCACATAGCACCGTATTGCAAAAAGTTATTCTCATCCAGCATGAGTGGTCTGCAGTTTCGTGCTCACCTGGGCCCTATCAACAACCTCAGGAAGACTCGAACCACGACAGTGTAGCGCATCATCTGGACACGTTAACAATTATACCACATTGCCACGAGTGCCCTAGGGTCACAGGGCCGATGTGAATTTAAGGAATGGCCAGACATTTTCCCATATCAATCGACTGCATTACCTATATTTGTTTATAAGTAGGTTTTTAAGATTATCAGTAGATAATATATATGAGGTGTATTCACGCTATTTCGTTTAAGGTGATAAAGGGACTGGTAGTTGAATTTTCCTACAATGATATGAGCAGACCTTACCACCTTAAATAAAATATGGTGAATGCATCTCATAAATACGATCTATTGATGATCTCGAAAGCCGCCTTATAACCGAAATGGAATGATGACAATGCATACTAGCAAGGCTCGAATCTCGTTGGGGAGGTCGAACCTGAAATTCAACCTGGGTGAGAAAACTTTTTGTCAAAAAAGGCTAAGCGATATATATTCACCATATTTTGTTTAAGGTTATAAGTAGATTGGTAGTAGTCACGAGAACCTACTTATAAAAGAAAAATAAGGCTTAGTGAGGTTCAGTGGTAAAGCGAGGCCATTGTTGGAAAATTCAGTTTTCCGTCTATATTTAAGATTTGATTATGCCAAACGAACATTTAAAGATTAATCGAATCTGAAGAATGCTTTCCCTAAATATCAGACACACGTTCGAATGTCATCAAAGTTGACTTGTGAAATGCTTTGGCTTGATCCCGTTCCCACCATTTGAGTATATCGTCAGGGCGGCTCCTAAGAATATACCCTCTTGTACTGCTGCCATTTCTACCACTCTTATCTGATCATTTCCCCAGCCTGATACCGATGTTCTCAGGGATCTGATGCTATTATTCCTTTCATATTTTGTCGGTCCGCATTATGTTCGGCATTCTCTTCCAGACCTCTTCTTTCTCCTCATCAATTCGTCGATTACTGACTGGTCGCAGAGGTAGCCACAAACTGTGGCAATGGCTAAAAAGGGCATAAGACTAGCTTTAATGGGCAAATATGATTCGACAATTTTATTTCACTCTTATCTCGGCTGTCCGAAGTTGCACTTTCATTTGAAGAGGATCGCGATGTAACACTGTTTAACATTGGTACTGACTCAAGCGCAACTATTGCCCGGGAGCCCAGTGAATCCAGTGACAACATTATCATCAGAATAGGAGTTGGATGAGGCTGAAAGCCCCTTTCGCATTAAACTACAGTCTACCGTCGTTCAACATCGTCTGCCAAATCACCGTTCCAACAAGACTCCGAGTAGGCAAAACCGAATGCAAGAGGAAGACCTGAACTAAGAGATATGAAGAGGAGCTGGATTTCAAAGAATCCCACGTAGGCTCGCAAGTCTGTCTTGGTTGATACGCTTGACATGCCTGTTGCGTGTGTGTGAATTTGCTTAAAACCACCAACTGGCTGATAAATTAAGTCGATTTCTTTTGAAAAGCGACTTTCTTCTTTAATATTCCAATCAAACATAAGTAATTCTTAGATATTAAGACTCCCTTATTATATTGATACTGACATATCTTTCATTTCGTTTGAGAAAGCAAGTGGAGGGGATTCGTAGTTTGGCTTCATTGGATACCGAAGTTGGGTTGCCTTGGCCTTTTGTCTGTCGAATTGTGAGAAGAAGACCTCAGCTCACCGTCCTACGACCTCGATGACTCCGCGCTAAAACTTTCTTGCTTTACTTTTTTTGTGATTGTTACCAAATACTGGTTTATGGACAGACGAAAGCTCAGCAGGTTGTCATAGGGGCCGTAGGACGGTGAGCCGAGGTCTTCTTCGCACAATTCAACGGGCAAAAATTCAAGGCAACCCAGCTTTGGCATCAGGTGGATCCACCCACCTTCTTAAACGAAATGATAGGTATGCTAGTATCTTTACTAAGAGATTTCTTCACCCTATTTAGTTAAAGGTGATAACGAGACTGGTAGCTGAAGTTGCCCTTAGCTACATCGCCACGAGTGCTCTTGGGCCACAGGGCAGATGTGAATTTCAAGGAAGGCCAGGCATTTCCCATATCACATTCTATGATGGGATTATGGATAGAGCAAAATTATATTTGCTATAGCAATCCTTCATCACCTAAAATAAAATGGGGTAAACGCATCTCATATATCTGATTTACTGGTAATCTCGAGAACCTACTTACAAGCGAAAAAAGTAATGTAGCCGATGTAGCCCTCAATTTTGAACCCTCAGTTCCAGACCTTATGTCTTCAACATGATCTCTTAAGACCGAACTTCAGCAAAGGCGCTTTTCCTCATCAGTTAGGGGTACTTCCGACTGCTCATATAAACTAACCCAGCGCATGTCAGCTCGTTTAACCTCACACTCACACATGCATACACACACACACATATATATATATATATATATATACATATACACTCACACATAAACTGTCTGGAATTTCTCGCACATTAACATGCACATTCACAAAATCTTACCCACACACAAGCACATATACAGGACTACGTTAACACTTGGGCAAATCTTGACAAATACGCTCACACTCACATGTAAGATAAACTGTCTAGTATTTTACACCTCCAGCCGCTTTAAAAGTCAGCTGATGGTACAGGCTTGGACGGATTAGCAAGCCATTTTGACTGAATCAGTCAGTCTTGGTTCTTCGTGTATGCCACTGTAGAATTGTGTGGAGCATCAGGTTGCCCAATTCGGCCCTTTGGGCCTGGTTGTGGCTGAACTGTACACAGTGCACACAGCCCAGTTCTCTTGTGGACGTGATCGCGGTCAGGCCTGTGTGCGTATGCATGCTTGTCTGTGTGCGCGTGTACGTATGTCGACAGGATGGGCGGCCTGTCGACCTTTGCCCATTCTTAGGGTGATCCCAAGTTGTGCAACAATCAAGAGACTTTGGGGCTGGTATTGCGACAGTCATGTGTAGGGCGTAGGTGGGTGAAATCAAAGGTACCAGCACCAGCACCAGCACCAGCACCAACAGCACCAACAGCATCGACAACATCAGTAATAGTGGCAGCAGCCGTGCGAGGTGTGTTGAGAGAATTGGAAGCCCGGCCCGGGAAGGCCAGTCTGGAGTTGGACGGTGAGGCGGTAGGGAAGGAGGCGACTAGGAGAGAATGGAGTGGAACGGAGAGATGCACGGACAGAGACGGTCGAGGGAGCGTCAGCCAGACACGAGATGTACCTTAATGGGCGTAGGCTGTGGAACCGATATCTGACTGACCAATTAAGGAGCGACGATGCCCTCCAAGACTCCTAACAGTAAAGGGCGGGCTGTAGGCATGTCAACGTGGTTCCAAGTGCTGGTGGAGATCGGACTTTAAAACCGCTCCAGTCCGCACTAGCGACCGAGTGTCAATAACGTGGTACCACGTTTCCCTCAATATTCTCCTCCATCCTCCCGGATTTATTGGACTCCCAGTGCATACGGGTGTGTACACTCTGCAGACCGTCGTCTCTCGGAACCATATATTCCCATCCTCTCGGGGAGCATGTTGGACAAAAGCTCGAGGCTGCACTCTCCTGTTCTAGCCGCATGTCTGGAAAAGGACCTGCGTAACTTTTAAGGTAAGTAGGCGAGAGCGGCCAACGCTGCGGCGTAGAGCAGATCCTCTGCTCCTTTCTCTCACACCATATCCTCAGTATCCATTTCGAGTGAAAGTGTTTGGTGAAGAGATTAGAAGGTCGACCTCATCAGATGACGACGACGCATTCCTCATGACCAGCTGTCGATTGGTTTTACTGGAACATTCTTGTTGACGTTGTTTCCGAGGCAATCTCCATCGATTCAGATGAAAACGTGCTAAGCTTTCGTCCGTAGTATGACGAACCATATTCAAGCCAACAAATCAAGAAAACTCACCAGCTCATATACTCTATATCGGAGCTCTTTGATGAGGTATAAAGTGATTTGGTTATTAGTGATTAACCGGTGAGTTTTATTGACTCGTTAACTTGATTATAGCTGTAAGGATGATACCTTGCTTGGCACGTTTTCAGCGGAATCGAGGGAGATTGCTTTGGAAAAAGCGTCAACAAGAATGTTCCAGTAAAGCCAATCGACATTTGGTCAGGAGAAATCTGTCGTCGTCTTCTGATGAGATCGACCTTCGAATCTCTTCAACAAGCATTTTTACTCGAAATGGAAGTAAGCTTAACAGTTATGAAACAAGAGACTACTCGAAGCCCACACATTTTGCCCACTTCTGGTCTTCTCGTTAATATAGGACCGACTCAGTATGATGACATATTCAAATAGAGTAGTTGGTCTTGGATAAGTTCTGCGTTCAGCCTAGGTTGCACAGGGAAATGAATAAAGTGGAGGGCTGAACATTATTCCATCTGAATAAAAGTTGTTTTTTTTCGTTTTGAGTAGGTTTTCGAGACTACCATTATCGGCTTGGACATGCACTGTCTTGTATTTTACATACATAAATAAGTATATGCATACACTATTACACACATATAAACACATATACAGGAATACATTCACGTTTAGGACAGGATATATCTCATATAAATGATATAGTTTATTGTAATGGCAAAATCACACTATTAAAATATGATTTGGTAGAGGCATGGCTATCGGTAAACTCCACACGTCGGACCAACTGGCAGGCTGGAGTGGTGGTAACATGTCGGAACCAGGTACAAGTCCTGTGTGGGCCGGAGGCCTTCCGAGGCCAAAACTGCAGACCAGTCCAGCCTATGTGAAGTTTAGCTTCCAATCTTTCATCACTTTATGCCTCCAAAGGGGAACACAGTTCTTGGCGAAAGACAATGAATGATGTAAGGCGTTCGATGCAGGGATTTGTTGAAACCCCGTCTCCACGACAAACAAAATTTCCGTGTGCCCCCTAGCGAACCCATACAGTATGGCCGCTCAGTGTCCGACTGTTCGGGTATCGTGAGGCTTGCACAACCCGACAAAGGGTGTCTAGCCAAAAACCACTTCTGTCATGCAGAGCTTTGCCTGCTTGCTCTGCTGGAGAAGAGGCAACCATAAGCCTGGTCCCCTCGAATAACACGACAAACATGACCATCTTGACAAAGAAGGCCTTTGTCGATCCTTCCCTTTTGTGACACCTTTTTTCACTGATGGACAACCACTATGTTTGTACATAACTGGGTCACGAGCAATTCCTTGATAAATTCATGTTATACTTTTCATTTGGTTCGCAAAGGCGAGTGGAATATATTCGTGAATTGGTCTCACTTGATGCTATTATTGTGACGGTGGAATCGTGCGAAACAATTCTCTATGAACTTAGCCACCTTAGGTCGTTCAGGGCGATTTTACGACTGAGAATTGAATTTTTCCCACAATGACATGAGTAGGCCTCAGGATGCTATTAAGTTGCACCCGACCTAGCCTTCCAAAAGCGTCTCTCGTCCAGGGTGGGGTGTAGTTCCGAACTCGTCTAGGTCTTATTAACACCTCCAGTTGGATTCGGTACCGGGACCTGAGTATTGTGGCGATGTTATCAGGAATTACTGATTGTTTCGAAAGCTACTCACACCGAAATCCTGTATGAAATCTTCATCGAGTTCTCAGACAAAAGTGGTGGTCGACAGCATTCATACCCGATTCCTTTAAATGAAGATATAAGGACCAAGATGTTGTGGCCTCTGGTGTGGTCGCAGTCTCCTTTCGATTTATAGAAGTGGGTTGACCTCGTTGTTGCAACTTGGTTTTGTTGTCAGGGTGACTATGTAGAACGCACCTAGTCCGAAGTCGTCTGCTATGGTAGTTGCCATGATTCCCAGCATCAGATAGTGGACATGGTACATTCTTAAACATTTCATTGGCACCATAGTCGGCATCATCAGTAAGTTCTGCCATTCTCCGCACCAAGCCACGAACTCGTCAAAGAGACAAGTGAAGTAAATCCTTCCACCAACGCTCTGCCGAAAACGGTTACACTATCACTCCTCTTTCTGTCCTGACCTATCTATCTATTCTTTACCCACATCCCACTCGTCAAAATGTGTGCCCTTTTGTGGCAAATCTAGTGTGGCCTCATCACACCTACTATTCACCCCGAACCCACTCTTTCGAGATCGTCTTATCTATTTCTAATACCTTTAGTCTAACTTTGCCAAGTTAAGCTTCGACTGGCTATTTGATGTTTTCCCAACAGGCCTGTAGATGAGTGGAGTGAAGGGTTGTGACCGAACAGCAGTTTCCCCATCAAAATTACTCTCATTTCTGATCCTGCAATGTTCGCGGGTGTGAGTATCCCTGAGTGTAGGCAGTGCTCATCTGAGTCATGTGAAGTGTGGCAGCCCAAACCATCAGTGAAGCCAATTCAGCTTTCTCTTGCTCGGTCTTATCAACACCCTCAGCAGGATTCGAACCGCT